CTGGTGGTTCCAAGAATATCTAAAATTAGGATGAGAGGCAGATCTTTTAGTTATCAGTCTCCTCTCCTGTGGAACCAGCTCCCAGCTTTAGTCTGTGAGGCAGACACTTTGTCAACTTTTAAGAATAGGCTTAAAACATTTTTATTTCATAGGGCTTATGGTTAAAATCTGGTGTTAGCCTAAATCTGGACAAGTGGGGAGTACAGGGAGGTGCAGTGTACAGTCGGTAAAGACGGCTCTCCATTGCCCTGCCTCCAACATGCCTCCATCTAAATAGGATAGATTATCCAGAGTTATCTCTGTAGTTATGCTGCTATAGGCGTAGACTGCTGGAGGATACACTGACCACTTTTCACACTCTACTGCTTTCTTCTACTATCTGCTCTTTAACTGTATTATTTTCTGCTACTTCAGCTGTTAACTTTATTTTTTCCTCTGTTCTTCTCCCCAGAAGAAGCTACAATGACGTTCTTCTAAGCAGTGGTGGCCTCAAAGAGGGGGCCATCGTCTAGCACACTGCTGCTAACCACTAAAACATTCTCCCTCTCCTGATAATAACTTTTTGCTTTCCTTGACGTTGGATGTGCTACTGCTAGTTTACCCATTTAATTATAGATCCACTAGGATAAATACAACAAAGTTTATCTCACCAAATAGAATATTTACTAAGACATCACAATATAACTATAGACACATTACTTTGTCTTTGTGTGTGTGCGTGTGTGTTTGTCTGCTCTATCTTCTCGATCCCCAGTGAGTCGTGGAGGATGGCTGCTTGTACTGAGCCAGGATTCTCTGGAGGTTTCTTCCTGTTAAAAGGGAGTTTTCCTCTCCACTGTCGCTAAATGCTTGCTTAGTATGAGGATTGCTGTATAGTCACTGACACTAGTCAGTGACTTGATGCAATTTGCTGGGTTCCTCATATAGGAAACATTATTTCTGATTGGCTTAATGAACTGACCTGAATTGGAATGTTTATTATGTGAAGCGCCTTGAGACGACTCTTGTCGTGATTTGGCGCTTTATAAATAAACTTGAATTGAACCCGAAGCAGAAACATTTGGCGAATCAAATCCAGTGACACCAGAGGTGAATCATTTACGGAAAAACTTGAACTACAACTGATGTGCACAGCTCTCCAACCTGTATTGTAAAATCGCAGCCATTCCTGCATGATGACGCGGTGATTTGGAATTTTGCTTACAAGCAGATGATGCTGCAAAAAAAGTCCATTTCTAATTCAAGAAGACGGATCTTTTTATACTGAGGCTAAACCGATAACTCCAATTATCCTCAGATGTGTAAAAGAAAATTATTAATTTAAAGGATTTAAGACAAATTTAGATGTTTTTTTCTGGACAAATAAAACGTTTAATTCAAAGTTTGATGTAATTTAAGCTAAAACACGAGTGGTTTTACGCGTGTGAAGGCCTTTTAGTGCAGTCTGACTGGGAATGTGCGAGAATATTCCACCTCTTCTGAAAGAATCTCTAATCAAAGCTTTTCACGGCTTCCTTCCTTTCACAGCAGCACGGGTAGCATGTTTGTCCTGTTGGTTCGGCTCTACTCGGGTGAAACTCGTCACTGGAAGGTGTTGAGTCAACACCGTGCATTCCTGGGTGTGCACTCTGCTGGGACCAGCTCATCGTCTGCAGAAGAAAGCGTTTACACCTTTCTTTGTCTTTGAATGTGACACTTGTCCTCAGAAGTGTCCACATTTGTGCAAGATCAGACAGGACTTGTTTTCTGAAACTGCAGTTTCCCGAAGCACATAACTGCAGCTGAAATCAGTGACACCAGTAAGAAGTTTGCATGTGATCTTTAAACAATAGATGCTTTCATTCCTTTTAACCATCGATAGATAATCATCTATCTGGGCAGAGTTTTTAAAAAATGCATCCTTGTTCCTTCTTTTTCTGTTCCAACTTAGAATAAAAACACTCACATTGTCTTTTATTCTTTCATTATGTGCAATCACTCCATTAAATACCTGAATGCAAGAACCGGCAAGCTTCAGCTCTAACCCATCAGGGTTTGATGGGACTTGCTGGAGCTCAGTCTGTGCTTTTATTGTTTTTTCATTTTATAAACCAGTAACTATGTTTGATGGGAAATAAAACAGAAAGTTTAAGAGACGGAAGGTCACGGGAAACTTTTACACTGCAGACTCTTCGAGATTTCCTCTTAGAGTGGAGAGGTATGTACATTTCATCGTGGGCAAACCTTTAACCAACAGGAAATCTGGCCCCCACAGCGCTTCTCATTCGTCTTTAAGGAGCTCTCCTTCCGCCACTCAAAACTTGTTACTGAATCTGTTTGAAATCATTGCTTGCATAAAACTACACCTGCAATCAATCCAACTCCAACCTCTCCACCAAAGGACTTTCTGAGGACACCAGGGACAAGACCGAAGACCCGCACACGGCTGAGTTGGGCTCGGTGAAAATACAACTGTTGGTACAGAAAAAGAAAATAAAAAAACTCAAGATGACTCAATCTGCCTCTGGGGCTCCATGTCAGGTCTTGCCTTGTGGAGAATTAATGATGAACAATGAAAGCTCAGTCCAGAACTGCATGGGAGGACCTTGTCAATGACTAACCCATAGATCAAGCACGTGCATGGGCTCCCTGCTCAAGCCAGCACAAGACCAGGCCCGACTGGAGCATCGGGATGATCCAGAGAAGCCATGAGAGAAGAACATCAGATGAGAACAAAGTAGAACTTTTTGGCATAAAAGACGTTCTATAAACATTCTACGAGGGTGGAAACATCATGATTTGGGTTGTTTTTCTACAAAGGGAACAGGATGAATGCATCGCTTGGAGGAGAGGATGAACAGGTCTGCGTAAAGTTCATCGACCTCAGCAAAGATGGGTCATGGTTGCTCTAAGTCTAAAACACACACCTAGAGCAACTGGGAGTGGCCTGGCAGGTCTCCAAACCTGAACCCAATAGGAAAACTTAAGAGGATGCTGAAACTCTGCGTTGCCTAGCAACAGCACTGAAACCCATAAGATTGCAGAGTGCAAACCTGGTCAGGAACTACAGGAAACATCTAACCGTAAAAAGGCGCTTTTTTAAATTGCATCAAATACTTATTCACTGCAGGTACCAGATAGCCAAGCGGGTTGCAGCAGTGGCAGTCGCCGAGGCAAATTCTCGGGCGTGGGAGGAGTTTGGTGAGGCCACGGAGAAAGACTGTCGATCGGCTCCAAAGAGGTTCTGGCAAACCGTCCGGCGCCTCAGGAGAGGAAGGCAGCAACTCGCTCACACTGTTTACAGTGGGGAGGGGGAGCTGCTGACGTCAACTGGGGCTATAGTCGGACGGTGGAAGGAATACTTTGAGGAGCTCCTCAATCCCACCTATGCCCTACTGGTTCGGCGTCTGCAGTGATGCGGACGCTGGGCCGATCTGTCGTGGTGAAGTGGGAGCTGAGCCAGAAAGCCAGGCTCTCAATTTACCGGTCGATCTACGTCCCAATCCTCATCTATGGTCGTGAGCTTTGGGTAATGACCGAAAGAACGAGATTGCGGATACAAGCGGCCGAAATGAGTCTCCTCCGTAGGGTGGCCGGGCTCAGCCTTAGAGATAGGGTGAGGAGCTCGGACATTCGGGAGGGACTCGGAGTAGAACCGCTGCTCCTCCGGATCGAAAGGAGTCAGTTGAGGTGGTTTGGGCATCTGGTCAGGATGCCTCCTGGACGCCTCCCTGGGGAGGTGTGTCGGGCATGTCCTGCTGGCAGGAGGCCCCCGGGTCGACCCAGGACACGTTGGAGAGGTTACATCTCCAATCTGGTCCGGGAACGCCTTGGGGTCCTGCCGGAGGAGCTGGTGGAGGTGGCTGGGAAGAGGATGGTCTGGAGCTCCCTAGTTGGGATGCTGCCCCCACGACCCGGACCCGGATAAGCGGAGGAAGACGAAGACAACGACTTATTCATTGCAATAAGTGCAAATTATTCAAAAATCTTACTTCAGAGTTAGAAAATTAGACCTTTTCCATGCTGTTTAACTTGGATAATCTGTATCATGTGGTTGTTGATGACTGGGTGGGTTAGAAAATCATGACCTCGTTACCTGAGCAGAGTAAAAGTCTGAAAAGGATCAAAGGGACACAATACACCTGTCCTTTGTATCATACGAAGAGCAACATTTAATGCTATAGAAGCTTTTCGTGAGAGAAATTTTAAATTTTATTACTTTGCCAAATTTCCTCATCTATTGTCCCTCTTGTGTGACCCATGTGCCCCATCAGGATGTCTTTCCCTTTTGGAGACACATGAAAGAGTCAGAGAACATGCAAAACAACAAGAACTTGTATTAAGGTGTGCCTTCCTCTTGCGTGCACTCGGGCAAACAAGTCCAGACAAAAGTGGCAATCCTGTTCCTGGAAACGGGAAAACAAAGAAGACAGGCTGTTGACCGTGGTTTGTTTCTTAACCCTGTATAAAAATTTAGTTTTGTGGCTTAAAATGTGGAGAAAATTCTGCTTTTTGGAGTTGTTCTGTTCAGTGTGACTCAAAGTTGGCAGACAGATTACAACTCTGAAAGTTTTCCAGCTGGAAATCTGAACAATCATGATTTAAAACCCACCACTGTCATTTCTGTTTCATGCTCATTTTTATCTGAACTTGCAGGTTTTGGGCAAAATGATGTGAAAACACTAAAACTAGTGACTCAGATGTTACTTTTATTATGATAATTTTATTTTAATTAAAAAAATATTGAGAACCATAAAGAGAATTTTTTTTCTTTTGATTTGGATTAAAACTAGGCTCATTTATTTTTGAGGGTAAATATTCAAATAAATAGTTTCGTCCTGTTTTAAGAGCTTCTGGAGTTATGTAAGTGTGTGTGTGTGAGTGTGTGTGTGTGTGTGTGTGTGGGGGGGGGGGCGCAAACATAACTGGTGTAATTAAACTCCTCCTCAGGAAGACCCCTGCCGCTTATTTGTTTTGAGAAACTTCGTTTTCCTAACCAGAGCTCCAGAAGCGCAGATTTCTGGACTTTACGCGCAAAATAACAACCTAGAATGAGTTTGTGCTGCTTTGTTTGAAGGTGGAGCATAAAGGCCTGATAGGAAACAGAAAAGGAGGAGAAACCAAACGTACCAAACATCTGGGAGCAGCTCTTTCCTTTCTTTCTGTCTTTAACCACACCCACAGGCGCGTTTCTCTACTCCGCGCTGCTCTACCTGGAGAGGGAACCAAATCCGCGCGTCAAGGGACCAGAACGACTCGGGAAGACGCACGAAACACAGCGGATACGACGGTTTCAGACAGCTATGGGTGCTGCTCTTCTGTCCGTAAGTGGGAAAATGCTGCCTTTTAAAATGTGTTTGTACAGCGTCCAGGTTCGCGTCGGAGCCGGTCGGGAACGTCTGAGCTGAGCTGGTTCGATGCCTCACACACACACACACACACACACAAACACGAGCTTTGAAAGAATATGTCTGGTAACTGATTTAGAAGCGCAAAAACAAGAACCACACCGAGTTAACCACGTATTGTGTCCGCGTAGCACCGACGTCGTGCGTAAAAGTCACACTTTTATCGTTTTTTTCGCTCCAGGCGCAGAAAGAAATCTATTAACCGAGGTTTACTTTAACAAAAACTCAAAGGCTGAGTGGATTTAGATTAAGGGCTGATAGTTGTATAAAAATGATAAAATATGATTTAAATTGTTAAGTGAAGACACGGATGATAAATCTGGTCAAACCGGTTTCCTTAGCCCGCCTGAGGCCTGCTCATCATTTTAGTTATTCCTGATTCTGTTGTTGATTCAAGCTTCCCTCATGAATTCAAACATGTTTTATCTGAGTTAAGCATCAGTCAGAGGGAACCCACCTGCTGACTTCATGAAACCACAGCCACTTACTGACTTCTGCCTCTTCCAGACCTAAAGACAAACTCCAACCAGGACAGGGGCAAAGAGAAGAGATTCTGGACCACCAGACTCAAAGATGGACTGGAAGACCTTCCAAAACCTCCTCAGCGGGGTGAACAAGTACTCCACTGCGTTTGGACGGATCTGGCTGTCGGTGGTGTTTGTGTTCCGGGTGATGGTGTACGTGGTGGCAGCCGAGCGGGTTTGGGGTGATGAGCAGAAGGACTTTGACTGCAACACCAAGCAGCCCGGTTGCGCCAACGTCTGCTACGACCACTTCTTCCCCATTTCCCACATCCGCCTGTGGGCGCTGCAGCTCATCTTCGTCACGTGCCCGTCCTTCATGGTGGTCATGCACGTGGCGTACCGAGACGAGCGCGAGCGCAAGTACAGGGCCAAGCACGGCGAGGACTCCAAGCTGTACAACAACACGGGCAAGAAACATGGCGGCTTGTGGTGGACCTATCTGCTCAGCCTTTTCGTCAAGACGGGCATCGAAGTTTCCTTCCTCTACATCCTCCACCGAATCTACGACAGCTTCTACCTGCCGAGGCTGGTCAAGTGTGACGTGTCTCCTTGTCCCAATCTGGTGGACTGTTACATCGGTCACCCCACAGAGAAGAAGGTCTTCACCTACTTCATGGTGGGTGCCTCGGCCCTCTGCATCGTCCTGAACATCTGCGAGATCATTTATCTCATCTCCAAGCGCATTGCCCGATGTGTCAACAAGATGAAAAGACGCCATCAGCACGTGGCTGTGCGCTACGACGACTACAACAACGACAACTCCTACAACAACTACAACATGTCCCTGACAAGGCAAGAGAAGAAGAAGCAGCTTCCGCCCTTGAAGAACTTCGATAACACCCAGTACCGGCTTGCTCCTCTCCCCACGGATGAGAAAATCCGGGCCTCTGCTCCCAACTTGACCTTTACTTACAACTGAAATGGCGCCAAAGACTCGGAACGAAACGCCGTCTTTGGCCGGATCCCAGTTAGAAACTGGAAAAATGGACTCAGAATTGCGAGCCAAACCGTGTCAGACCCTGGAAGTTGAGTCATCGCTTCTGGACTCGTCCCGCGGGACTGTGTCCACATTTAAGACTCCAGGAAACGTTTGAACTCTGGTTTCCAAGAGAACACCCACAACATTTACACGTCCTCTGTTAAAGTGGGTTTTTTATGCAGTGAATGTGTTTGTGTGACTTTTCAACTTCGTGTTTGTTAAAACGTAGGCAAGAGGAGGGAGGGAGGGAGGGAGCAGTCACACCTGGCGGAGGTATTTACTCTACCTGCCCTGAGTGACGTGTCTGAGCACGTTACTGGTACTGAGAGTATTCCAAACCCTTCAAAAGGGATTCATTTTATTTATGGTTTTATTTTCAAACAGAGGAGGAATGCAAACAAAATGCTCCAGAGGTCATAAAGATATGCCAATTAACCCAGAATAATGATTTTTTATAGCATTTATCACAGATAAAATGATTAAACGCTCCTAAATTGTACTTTGAAAGTTGTTTCTCTTTCTCAGGTCTAACGCTGCACATTCCTGTTTTGCATAAATTGTTTGGACGTGACAGTAAACAGCTCCGCCTGATCCGAGACCAGCGTTGGTTTTGGTCAGGTGAGAGGAATGTTATCCATGCTGAAGCAGAGGACAGCTGGAGATGACCAAAGCTCATTATGGGATGTCCACGCTGCTCACAAACGGACACGCACATTAATTTAAATGCAGTTGGTGTTTATATTTGTTCTTTTTTTACAATAAATGTAAAATATATGAAAACAAAATGCCAATTTGTTTCATTTCTAGACATTAGAAACAAAATAGCGACGATAGCGATCCGAGTTCTGATGATCCTCGCTTAGGAAGTTGTCCTTCGCCGACACGTGGCGACGTTTTATTAATCAATGCATGGAACACATCAACATCGGTGTGGATCATGATGCAGCTTTATCGTTACTCGGTTCTGGGCGTTAAAAGAACCGCTCAGTCTGCTTGTTGGACTCGCCCGTCAGGTTTCTTAACTCACAGCAACTGAAATATTGTTTTTGTTTATCCCACATCTCGTCTACAAGCTGGAAAATCCCCCGAGATAAGATTACTAACGCGGAGATGTTCAACATCTAAAAAAAAAAAACATTTCAGAAGCTCTGAAATAAATAAAATCCTGTTTGAGCAAAATTAGGGTCAGAATATTGTTTAAAGATGTTAAAGTGAAATAGTTTTATTTTGGAAATTACAAACTTCAAAGGTTATGTACATGTCAGATGAGGTATTAAAATAAATAAAGTTATACACATAAAAGTTTAATCAAGAGGTTTCCATCATCTGTTATGATGCCAGACTTGTGCGTGAATTATTAAATAAATAAAAATAAACCTTTGCAGACTTTTGGCCTTCCTGCTGGTTTAGAAGCAACAAAAACTCACTTTTATAAACCCCGCTATAGAAATTACACCGATTTTACATAAGGCACAAGTACAGCAGTGATGTCATTTCATCAGATCTTTTACTCCAAACAAAAAGGAAGGAATGATCACGCACCGAGTATTAAAGCGATCAGGTTCAAGAAAACGTTTCGTGTGTTAAAAGCCAAAGGCGCCGTTGCCGAGTCTACAGTTTGCAGGCGGCCTGAGCCACTTTGGAGTTGGTCTTCCTGTTGAGAGCTCGACAGATGAAAGATCCTGCATCCATCAGCTTGAGTAGGTCGACTCCCTAAGGAGGAGTGAACAAAGAAAGGACAAACACTTTGTTTACAACTTTCTTAAAGGTCTCATTCACTGAGGAACCGTATAATACCCGTTATTTTTTAAATACGACTAAGCTGCAAATGCATGCAGGATGTGAAAACACCCATTTCCTGTGTTGGCGCCGATAGAAAGCAGACGGGAAACACTCGGGTGAGGAGAAGCCACTCAGATCTATGTCACACTGAACATTTGCATTCATGGCCCCGCCCACCGCCAATCATCAGTCCAATAAATGATGGGCGACATATTCATCGTGATACACGGACTGTTGCAAACACAGAAGAAGTCCAAACACAACTTTTTTTTAATGGAAGCGCAGCGCAAATGTTTGCTGGAAGAGAAATTTAGATTTTTTATTTGTTTATTTTTGTATTTGTAGTTTGGTTGGTAGCGTGACGTATAAACGCCTCGTATTAAACACGGTTCAAGTGTCCATTTCCCTGCAGTGGCACCGACCACCATTGTGGCGTATTATTGTGGGGTTCTTTAAACGAGTAGGAAATGAAACGAATCGCTGCTGCATTTGGGTTTGGATGCACTCTGAAGAGGCGGTATTTGCTCGCTGCCAGCGGACGAATAATCTATTTCTGTCACTTTCACTTTTTAAATAATCATTCAATTTGCATTTAATTTAATTAATATGTAGTTCAAACAAGCTGACCAGAATGTCCCAGTAACATATAAACAATGCAATTAATTTCACTTAAATTCTTAAGCTTTCACCTGCTCCAGCCCAAACACACATGCCTTCAGTCTGCTCCAGGTAAACCTGAGCTCATCACCTGCAGCTTGTGCGTAATCAAATGTCTCTAGGGAGCTTGCCGAAGAGGTTATGAGGTTCTGGACTCTTGCCTCAGACGGACTCGTGGACGTTTAAATGTTCTGGATGAATCCGCGCTCTGCTGACACACTCAAAGCGGGTGCTGAATAAAGAGAGCTACTTAAGCCGAAGTTTTAAAATCAGGACACATTTCTCCAAATGAAAGATAGAAGGGTTTCCACTTTCCACTCGACGTTGCGCTCTTATGCACAGTGTCGAGAACATCACAGACGTTCACAGAGTTCAGCAGCAGCGAGAGGCGGAGAAAGTGCAAGATAACGTCCAGATGCTCTGATGGAGATCTTTTCTTTACGGTTGTTTTGTATTTTACTCTTTCAGGGGGAGTTTTGGCTTGCTTTTAGCACCTCCTAGTGTACATCTGTAGAACCGAAACCTCTCTCCTCGTGGAGCGTTTGTTTAACACCATAATCTAACAGCTGAAGCGTCTCCCAGCCTTTCTTAGTGTCTACAGGAGTGACTCATCACAAATTTAACAAATACGCTGTGTTCATGATCTAGACCAGTGGTTCCCAACCTTTTTCCCAAGGGACCCGTTTTTTACCAGTAAAATTTCTGACGACCCCCTCCCATTCTCTCTTCCAGTACAAACATTATTAAGAAATGATAAAATTGTTCAAGCACATTTTAATATGCTTTGATTCAATAGATAACAGTAATAGTAGGCTCCAGTACAGAACAAAGTCATTAACAAAACCAAACAGAGCATAATGTGCTCGACAGTTTGTATTACTTTTCTGAACACATTGTTTCTTGTAAACACTGATAAAATCATTCCTTTCAATAAACGTTTGACACATAAAAAATACACTGAGCAAAATGTGCTTAAATGTGTATATTACTGTTTATACTAGATTATTTACTGTAAACGCTGTGATTAATCAACCAGTCCTATATTAAATGAACTCTTGACACTTGAAAATAAAACAGTGAGCTGAGCAAAATGTTCTTAAAAGTGTGTTACTCTTTCTGTACTAATTATTTCCTGTCTTAATATCAGTAAACTTTTCACTCTTGAAAAAAAAGTGAGCAAAATGTAGGCTATAAACAAGTAATAAATGAAGTTTTAACCCCTTAAAGTGGAGAGGTCCTGGCGACCCACTGAGAGGCTTTAGCGCCCCCTTGTGGGGGTCGGGACCCCCAGATTGGGAACCACTGATCTAGAACATGCAGGAAACGTGCTGGAAGCAGACTGCAGCCCCAGGTATGTCAGCTCTTTTTGTTCCTATTCCAACAGAGCGGCCCGCCAGGCTGAAGTTGCAAGTGGAATATTCTGACCACATAGGGGCTGGGTGACCTTTCATTAACCCTATAAAGGGTCATTTTAGCGCATACTGGCTCAAGAAAACAGTTTAAAAGATGAAAAAGTTTCAAAGTATCCCTTTAATCTTTCTTTTTATTGCTGCGAACAAAAGTTCCTCACTGAGGGACAATAAAGGGATCTTCTGTACTTTTCATTCCTTCTAGAGACAACAGCTAATTTTATTGGAAAAAAAAGCAGAATATGACTTAAAAGAAAAAGAATAAACCTTTTGTCTCTTAACAGAAAACTTCACAAATGAATTATTAAATAAATGGTTTTCTTACCGTTTTAATCCCGAGTCCATGCAGCATATAAACCACATCTTCGGTTGCAACGTTCCCAGAAGCCCCCTGTGCATACGGACATCCACCCAGCCCTGCTACTGATGAGTCAACAACGCTGATTCCCATCTGGAAAACATCAAATAAGAAGCTCATTATGACATCATCTCTGCACTAACAGGCATTTTCAGCTTAGAACAATATAAACTCAGCCCGACCTGTAAGGCTACAAGGATGTTAGCCAGAGCTTGGCCGTAAGTGTCGTGACAGTGCACTGCCAAGGCGCTGACAGGCACCTCTCTGCTCACCGCTTCCAGCATTTCAGTCATGCTACCAGGAGTCCCCACTCCTATGGTGTCACCCAAAGAGATCTCATAGCAGCCCATGGAGTACAAACGCTTAGCTACCTGGAACACAAAGTCTTTGTTACGTTTATCCTGTCAAATAGTGACGAATGGCTGAATCGTGGATTTATCAAGTTAAAACTCACATGTGCCACTTTCTCTGGCGCCACTTTGCCTTCATACGGGCATCCGACGACACACGAGACGTAACTGTGGGGACAAGAAATGCAGACGTGGGAATTAAACAGCAAGTCTTTGTGATTTAAAGGTTTCTCGACAGCAGAAAGAAGGCCAGTAATCATACCCTCTTACTGGCACAGCAGCCTCTTTAGCCGCCTTCATAACCTCGTCAAAGCGCTGTAAACTCTCCTCCACTGAGCAGTTTATGTTCTTCTTGCTAAACAGCTCGGACGCAGCACCAAATATGGCCACCTCTGAGGCTCCTGCCTTTAACTACAATATAGAAATGAAATATTTCACAGCTTAGAAACGCAGTGCATGAGCGGATGTAAAATAACCTGGAATGTCCGACACTCACGGCAGCCTGGAAGCCCCTAAGGTTAGGGGTGAGGACTGGATAGGACACTCCTGGCTTCTTTTTGATACCCTTCATCACTTCCACCTGGTCTCCCATCTGAATGATTCAGTAATCAATAAAAAAAAAAACTCACACAAGCACCTTTCATGCTTACACACAGCAGCATGTGTCAGCACTACTCACCTGTGGGACCCATTTAGGAGACACAAAGCTAGTGGCCTCAATGACCGTCAATCCAGACTCTGACAACATGTTGATCAGATTAATTTTTGCTTCCGTCGGAACGACGACCTAAAATAGAAAACATGATGATAAACGCCGAGTGCGCATGACTCATAGCATTTCTTTGGATTACATCAGGCATGAACTATGGCACATGTAGATAGAAAACATAATAAATAAATAAAACGTAAACATCCTTTTACTTTATTCATTTCAATTGGTGAACGTAAAAACAGAAATATGAGCATGTCCGAGTTTTTATTTTGGACGAACACAGAAAAGAAACAAAAAAATATATATATTATGAGTCAGTTTGTCGCCAAATAATGAAGCATATATGAATCTGTTATGGTGAGATTAAAAGCTGCTGTTTCATTGAATCTAAGGGAAAAACTATAGTGTGACAATGATTTGTGCCCCCCGTGTTTTGTGTATTGAAACGTTGTCTCTAACTATATTTTACTTGTGGATGCCATCTCTCCAGTATCTCCATATAGAGCAGTATTAGATACAGAACCCATAATTAATGTCTACCCTCACCTGATTTTGTTATTCAAATGAATTCTAATCGAGTAATTACAAAAACACATTTGTCGGATTTGATAACGACAAAAATAAGATTACCATGAAAATATGAAGAAAAAAAAATCTAGTTTTTGGTCATTTAACTAAAATGTATGCAGATAAAACTCAATAAAGACATCATACTGCGACTAATGCACCTGCTCCACCCAAACACTGATGGATAACACTATCTAACGTGATAAACGTCACACGAGTGCATTTCAAACAAACCCAGATGTATTTATTAAACCATACCTTCTCGTTTTGAAGACCATCTCTGGGCCCCACTTCTACTATTTTCACCGTTTCTGGAAGAGCCTGACTTGCTTTTATCCCAGCCTAAAGAAAAAAAAATAAAAAAAATAAACAAAAACGTAACTAGTCCCACAGAGTATGCTATAGCACAGGTGTGTCAAATCCAGCCCGGTATCTTTCTGTTGTTTCCCTAATCCAACACAGTTGATTCACCTGTGCAGCAGCACATCAGGCTCCCCAGAAGCTTGTTAACCACCTGCTGATTGACACCAGGTGTGTTGAAACAGGGAAAACACTAAAAACAGGTGGGGCAGCGGCCCTCAAGGACCGAAGTTTGACACCTGAGCTACAGAGGGTTCCAAAGAAAACAAGCTAACAAACATCGATAACTAGCTTAGCCGTCACCTCTGGACGTCAAGTCTAAAACATAAACGATGAAGTCGGAAAATTAGGACTCACCGAATACACTTGGGCAGCAGTGGTGAACGCCAGGTAGTGCTGCCCCATTCCTGGTGTGAAAATCTTCTTGTTTACCAGCCTCATAGCAGCGGCCATCACTCCTGCGGTCCTGCCTCGGCTCTGACGTCACCTCGCCGCGAGCGAAATTAGAGTTTTGTGTTGAAGTAGCGCATGCGCGCCATCTACTGGTCAAATAAACACACTGAATGAAATGCTCAGAGGATGAATAGAGCACAAATAAATGTTATGTTACTAAATATTATATATCTATATCTATATATCTATATCTATATCTATATATATATATATAATCATAATGCCCTTACCAGGAATAAAACACAAAGTGCTTAGTGAATACTATCAAAAACACAAAAAATGATTTATTGAATATTTAATTATAATAATCACACACACACACACACACACACACACACACACACACACACACACACACACACACACACACACACACACACACACACATATATATATATATATATATATATATATATATATATATATATATATATATATATATATAATTTATATATAATGTGTGTGTGCGTAATAATATAATTGTATATTATTTAATTTATTTTTGTTTTTTGTGTTTTTGATAGTATTCACTAAGCACTTTGTTTTTTTTTCCTGGGAAAGGCATTATGAATAAACTTTACTTACCTAAATATAAGCCTGATCAAACCTCGTGTTGTTACAACCTATATGAAAATAAAATATTAGGGCCCAGCTCTGCATTTTCCAGGTCATTTTTCTTCAATAAAACATTCTTCTTTATACTTAAGTGTAATAAACAACGGCTTTGGGGGTATTTAAATGCTCTTTGGCGTGTACTACCAAATAAGCACCACCTCATGATGGTGCAGGGATTTAAAAGTATATTTTTCGAAGGTTTTAAACATTTTTATGAATTGTATCTAACTTAGATTACACACTGTTTAAAATAAATAATCAGGTATTGTAATCCAGAATGGAACATTTTTCTTTAGTTTGGACCCTCCAAGTTTTAAATCTCTAATACACACACACACACACACACACACACACACAAAACAACGGTATAAAAATATCTTTAATGAGTGAAAAATAAAATAAAACAAAGAAGTCAAATAAATAAATAGTTGTTCATAACATAGTGCATATCACAAGCACTGGTTAAACTGCAGACAAACACTGAAAAATAAACTTTCCCTTCTCTGGGACGACTGCCATCATTTCTGAGTGATTAATGTTGGCTTTAATGCCAAAAAATGGTCCAAAAAATCCACCAAAGTTGTGACGTTTGGTCGTGCATATAAAGATTCAAAAGAGTTCATAAGAGTTATCATATAACTACAACTGAAACAACTGAAACATTGATTATATGCATGCTTTGGATACCGTATATCTTCCAGAAGATCAACGAATAACTTTCCACCTGCACCACAATCTCAGCTAAATAAAATAATAGTTGAATTTAACTAGTTGATGTCTAACACATCACAGGTGTGTGTATATACAGGTGTGGGCTTCAGTTTGTCCATAAATTCTCTAGCATGGCTTTTTATCTGCACACATTTTGATCCAACTTCACTGCAGCTCCTCGTCGCTGTCGTCCACCTGCTGGATGATGAGATCTGCTCCCGAGTCTTCAGCCAGGTCATCGTCATCGTTTACCATCCAGGTTCTTTTAGCGTCCCCCTCCTCCTCGCCGTCCACGCCTAGCAGCAGGGCCGGCTCGTCGTTGGACGCCTGCAGACCGTCCATGGGGACGTCGTCGCAGCCCACTTCCTGGATGCAGGCGGTGCACATGCGGTAACGGCGTGTTCCCTCACAAACCACATGTCCAGTCTCTTCTGTCACCTGACACTTGCACTTCCTGCACACCAGCTTCCTGGCCTGATGGATCTGTGGGAAAGCAAACTAGTTTAACAATGTTTATGAATGAATGAAGCTAGAAATCAACTCAGATGCTGGTTCTGGTCTTTGGACATGGCAACGTTTCAGAAACACGTTTAAACCACTGTTTTCCTTTCTCAGTAGCAGGTATGAATCATCCTGAGCGTTTGTGTCAACTGGAGGCTCCATAAACAAACTAAAATAGGTGCTGCCTCCCAGCTGTGACAAGACTCACCGTCTCAAAGTGGCTGCGGAGATGCTCCAGGCGAGTGAAGCGCTTGTTGCAGGCCTGACACGGATACGGCCTCTCCCCAGTGTGGCAGCGCAGGTGGCGCTTCAGGTCGGCCTTCCTCTTCACCGTGTGTGTGCAGAAGGGGCACTTGAAGCGCATGATTGGATTAGAATCTACAAAGAAAGAGTTTGAGATATCTGTATATATTTTTTCTTCTGCCAAGCCTGTTTCATGAGAAAATGTTGCTTTCTCACATTGCTAAAAGCTAAACGCGCTATTTGGGTCATACACAGCTAGACGCACCTTTATTAAAGTGACTAATAACACCGACGATGGGCGGTAGAGTGGCATAAAGCTCCTCTGCCTTTTCAGCCTTTCGAGTCCGCGCCTCCTGAATGTCCAGATCCTCGTGCTGGCTGGAGCGACTGCTGTTAGACACTTTCCGCTTGGCTCCTCCTCTTCCACGCCGGCGCTCTGATCCTGGTAATGTGTACAGTGGGTCCTGGGGGTCCTGCAGGTCGTCTACCTCTGCGCTAATTTCGTTAACAGGGCTGCTTGGATCCGTCTTCAAGGCTAAGGAGGAAGCGTCCTGCTCTGAGTCTTTTCCAAAAAAGCCAGACTGGGATCTGGAGCTGTCGCGGGTCCAGAGTGCAGGCGGTGGGCTGACGGAGCGGGGACCTTGCTGCTGGTGATCCGTGGACTCTTCTCCTGCTCCACTCGTGAACGAACATGTCTCAGACAAGCTGAGGCACCGATCGCTGTCTTCTTCTTTCACACTGATGTCCAAAGAGGACTTGATGAAGTTCTTGCAGTAGCTGATGACGCTGTTCATCTGCAAGTAGCTGGCTGCAGACATCACCTCAATCACGTTGTGACTGGACAGGTCCAGCTGGCCCGTGTAGATGAAATCTAGGATGACGGTAAAAGTCTCTGGGCTGAAGACGTCGAAGGTGGCGCTGGCGGTGTCGGGCAGCCCGTCGGACCCCTGGGACAGCAGCATGCGGAAGTAGCCGCTGCTGGCGAACAAGACGTTACGGTGTGCCCTGAAGTGCTGGCCCTCCACGAGCACGCTGCAGTCACAGAAGAGCTCCTGGCGGCGCTGCTGGTTGAGCTGCTTAAGCAGGCTGCTTTGGTGAGACGCGGTGATGTCAGCCGTGTTGAACCACCTCTGAGGCTGCCTGCAGGAGACAGCATACAGCTCGTTACTGCATCAGACTACAGGGGTCCTGTGGATGCTCATTAATTAAACTGAGACCTTCAAGCTAAAGTTTAAATTTGCACTAAAAAGAATCGGAATGTTTACACGGGCACGGACTGGGACACCCTTCGCAGTTATAACAACTTTAATTATTCTGGGATGTCTATTTTTTATTTTTCCTAAAGTGCATTTATGAGATTGGACACATTCCTCTACAGCAAACTCACTCATCTAGGTCCTTACTGGAACACGGGCACGCCTGCGTCCGTCTGGCGGGATGAAAATGTCTGCTGGAGTTCAGATGGAAAATTTAGGCTCAGTTTTGACTCACGAACATCACAAAGTCAGCAGAAGGGAATGGAAATCACACATCTGTTGTCACGGTGACTCTTGCAGATGAAACTTGAAAAATGAGAATACCGCGCAAACGCTTATTATTTCAGTATTTCGACTAAAAAATGTTAAACTAATCCATGAGCCAGACTCAGTCTGTGCAAATCCAGATGTTTGAGCCTTTATTTGTTTTAACTGTGATGATTACGGCTTACAGCTGATGAAAACCCCACATTCTAAATCTCAGTCAGAATGTTGGGAAAAGATTCAATATTCCAGACTTAAAGTCAGCTGATGAATCCAGAGCTGCAAAGGGTTCCTGAGCCTTTTAAACAAAGATGAGGGTAAGATGTGGAGGGGGCATGCTCTGCATGCCCCCTCCACATCTTACCCTCATCTTTGTTTAAAAGTGCTTTTCAGTCCATCGGTCCCAGCGTGCTCTCTGTAATTAATGCTTCTCTGGTTTCCGGTCAGGTCCCTGCTTACTATAAGAACGCTGTAATCCACCCGCTTCTTAAAAAACCGAGTCTGGACCCCTCTCTCCGTAGCAGCTTCAGACCCATCTCTAAACTTCCGTTCATCTCCAAGATCTTGGAAAAGGCTGTGGCTGTCATGTTGAGGGTGTGGATGACGGCAGACCACGTGTGGTGGAGCAGATCAGGAGGCAGGAATGCAGGCACGGATGAAATAAAAGTAGTTTTAATGGCAGAGCGGGAACGACAGAACAAAAACAACGCTGACAACAAACAATGATCTGACCAAGACTGATACAAGAAGGGAGGTATAAATACACAGGGGCAAATCAGGAACACCTGGGCAGGTGAAACCAGTAGGGACTAATAAACGGCAGGGGAGAGACACAGTCAGGGAGGCAGGAGCAGATTGTGACAGTGGCTAAACAACTCACAGCTGCTCTTGATGAACAGAACATCTATGATAGCTTCCAGTCAGGTTTCCGTAGAGCTCATTCTACTGAAACAGCTCTTCTTAGGGTCTCTAATGACCTTCTGACTCACAGTGATGCAGGGGACTGTTCTGTTCTGGTCCTGCTGGACCTGACTGCAGCCTTTGACACTGTTGACCATCACCTGCTACTGGAGAGGCTGAGAGACTGGGTAGGCCAATCAGGAACTGTTCTGGAGTGGTTCTACTCTTATCTTTCTGAGCGCTCCTTTTCTGTGGCCGTCTCCAAGTTTAGGTCCTCCACCACCTCTCTTACCCATGGTGTCCCACAAGGTTCTGTGCTGGGGCCTCTGCTCTTCCTCCTCTATCTGCTTCCTCTTCAGCACATCCTGAGCTCCTTCAAAGGAATCTCCTACCATCTTTATGCAGATGACATCCAGCTGTACATCTCCTTTAAGCCCCATGAGATGTCTAAGCTGCAGCTGTTACACACCTGCTTAGACTCTATCAAAGCCTGGATGGCTGGGAGCTTTCTACAGCTGAATGAAGATAAGACTGAGATCCTCATCTGTGCCCCAGACAAGCTGGTTCCTAAAGTCAGAGACTCTCTTGGTCAGCTTGCTTCCCACACCAAACCTTCTGTCAGGAATCTTGGCGTGACCTTTGACCCAGCTCTCACCCTGGATTCTCATGTCAGTTCTCTTGTTCGCTCTTCCTTCTTCCATCTCAGGAACATTGCTAAGCTGAGTCCCATTCTGTCTCGCTCTGAACTTGAGAAAGTTCTCCACACCTTCATCTCCTCACGCTTAGACTACTGTAACTCTCTTTTCACGTGTCTGAGCAGAACCTCCCTGAACCGTCTACAGGTGGTTCAGAATGCCTGTGCTCGGCTTCTGACTAGGTCCTCCAAACACACCCACATCACCCCGCTTCTCCTCCAGCTTCACTGGCTGCCAGTCAACTTCAGGGTTCATTTCAAGATCCTTGTTCTGGTCTATAGAGCCTTACATGGACAAGCACCATCTTACATTGGTGATCTTCTCAGTCCCTATACCCCCAGCAGGTCCCTGAGGTCCAGTGATCAAAGCCTACTGGTTGTGCAGCACCAGGCTAAAGGTCAAAGGTGACAGAACATATGCTGCTGTGGCCCCCAGACTCTGGACCTCTCTCCCCCTGAGCCTGAGATCAGTGGACTCAGTGGTCTCCTTTAAAAAGCAGCTGAAGACTCACTTGTTCAAGCTGGCTTTTGTATGACCTTCTTCACCACTCTCTCTTTATTCTGCTCTCCCCACCTATTCCACCTTCCTCAGGATCCACTGATTTCCTTCTTTCCTATTCACTCTCTCTCTTTCTTTACATTTTTTAATCACATTTGTCTATTTTTTGCTCATTTTAAACATATTTTTAAACATTTTCTTAATTCTTTATATTTTTACATTTTTTGTTTTTGTGAAGCACCTCGTGATTTCTATCTTGAGAGGCGCTATAATGATATTTTCTTCTCCTTTAGATGGTCTCTCAGTCTAAGATGGATTACTGAAATAGACTTTGCATCATATTCTAATTTTTCAAGTTTCACCATTATACTGCTGGAAAATCAGTTTTATCTTTATCCTGGTGCCACATTAGCAGATTTATAAGTTGAACAGAGTTAAGATTGTGGGTTTCATCCAAAATCTCCCGACTCTTGTTGGTGTGGTTTGGATTTGATGACTGAAGCATAAGGAAACAAATCAAACAGGGGCCTCAGTTTCATGTGGAGGAGACACAGCCACAACATGGTCACCAGCTTGGGCACACACTGCTGTGGGATGGCATTGTACCAGTCAGAGTTCAATGGGGTTGATGTTTTCCATCTGCAGGGCGTCTGAGCTCTCACTTAGAGACAGGGTGGGAAGCTCGGTCATCTGGGAGGGGCTTGAGGTAGATCCGCTGCTCCTCCACATCAAGAGGAGCAAATTGAAGTAACGTGGGAATCTGGTTTGGATGCCTCTTGGACGATATGTTCAACCAGGAAAGACCTAGGACACAATATACTTTATTTCCCGTCTGTCCTGGGAACACCTTAGGATTTCCCCAGAAAAGCTGGCCTCGGACAAGCAGAGGAAAACAGATACACACTCTGAGATGTAGTTTCCTTAAAACAAACGAACAACAAAGGTGGTTCACACACTGATCCAAGTGTTGATGAGTCAGCAACCGCTCCCAAACTCAGCTGACCCATGGACTTACCTAAGCATAGCTGAGGGTGACACAACCATCTCTCTAAACTGGAACACCTCCAGTTCTGATCGCCCACCCAACTTCTTCCTGATTTGTGATTGGCTGAGCAATCCTTCAGTCAGAACATCTTTTTCATGTGCAACGCCCGACTCGAAGAGCATCGGGTGACAAACACTTTAATCAATCCTGTGCTGAGTTCAAAGCGCGCTGGGAAATCCAGCCGTCCAACTAGTCACGACTGGCCGGATGAGAAAATGAAATTAAATACAGCAGCCGGACTCCTTAAAGAATAAAATTATTCAGCACCGAGCTATATTGCAGCCTCGTTTTCTTTCCCCGTTCTGCAGCTTAGATATGAAATATCTGAATCAGGCTCCGCGTCGCCCGATAATAACCCACGGTACACCCGCCGGAAGCACCACGGTTATTATTAAATAGCATTTAAAACCAGAAGGGATCTTAGTGGAGATCAATTCGGCGATTGAAGCAGTCGTTTGACCTAGAAAACGGTCCGGTAGCGCTGCAGTCCTTCGAGAGAAAAGCGGGCAGCGCCGCACCGGAGCAGCCCCGTCTGTCCTGGAGCGACGCCCACTTCAGGCTTCAGCCAGCACACAATAGAAAACAGCCTCACGACCCTCCTGCTGCTGGCGAGCTTTGAAATAAACACATCAGCGCTGATTTAATCAGCCTAGACGAACGAGGCGGCAGCACACCCGGTTTTTTTTATCCCCACTTCTCCCCGGAGGTCCGGAGAGCAGCGAGATCAGCCTGCTGCCCGCACCGAGAGGCTCCATCTCAGGCGAGAGGTGTCGGCAAGACCCGCTTACGCCCCACAAAGAAAAGCCATCGATACTCACTGGTGACTGGATTCACCCGGCGCCCGGTAGAGTCGACTCGCCCCTAAATCTGCCACCATGTCCATTTTCTGGTGCTTTCTGTCGCTTCGCTCGGCTCCCCCCCACCCTGCGCGCGTCCAGGGTCCACAGCCAGCACTTCCTGCTCAGCCCTAAAGACCGAAACCCGGCCACAGCGACTGGAGCTGCGTGTGCTGACGTGGGTGTTTATGCACAGGGTGCCCGAAGGTCCAAGGAGCCACTTAAAGCCCCAGTGTCCCTTTAAAACCCACCACAGCGTTCCCAGAGCTCAGGTTAACACCGGATTTCTGCAGATCTCCATTTATATACACTCTATAGTTTGGCTTCTGCAAAAAACGAACAAAAAAAAAAAAACCTAAAAACCAAATTAAACAACATTTTAGATTACTTATGATTAATTATTTCATTATTGTGATTTTAATGCACAAAAACATTGAAAAGATTTTCTTCAGCTGCAGTTTATTTCAAAAACAGACTGAAAATGGATTGCAAATATATATTAAGGCCTGAGATTAAGTTTATGGGTTATAGGAAAAAAAATGCTGAAAAAGTGATCATTTTAAATTTTTTGCAGCATTTTAGAAACAAATCAGCTGCATCAAGATGTGCTGTTGAATCCTGTGGGATTCATGGACTGCCAACGCCACAGATCCTCACCTGCGGGAAACAAAATCAGGCCATTATCTAGGAGTCGTCCCGCATTATTAAGCGTGTGGTTCATCAGGAGCTTACACATTCTTTCCAAGTCAAATTGAGCCTTCCAGCCCAACTCCTTCTCGGCGAGCTGAGGGTCAGCATAGCAGGAAGCTACGTCTCCTCCTCTGCGAGGAGCAATCTTGTAAGGGATCTAGAAGGAAAAATAATTATTTTATTGAAACGGACAAACTCAGCTCTCCAAATCAAGCAGAAGAGCTTGTAACTCACTGTCCTCCCTGATGCTTTCTCCATCGCTTTCACCATCTGAAGCACAGAGTAACCTTTTCCTGTTCCAAGGTTGTAAACCTTAGAGCAGAAAATATTAGATACAACAGAAAAGGCATTGTTGTTGTTCATCACGTTTCTCTGAAGAGCACCTTGCAGCCGCAGTTGTCCTTCAGCTTTTTCAAAGCTGCTATGTGTCCCTTAGCCAGATCCACCACATGGATATAATCCCGCACACCTAAAACAGGAAATTGAACGTTTGGATGACTTTAATTTTATAATTTTTTTATTGAACGGTTAAAATCGGAAGCAAATGCGATTACCCGTGCCGTCGATCGTGTCGTAGTCGTTACCAAACACATTGAGACACGCTCTTCTTCCAACTGCAACCTGTGAGCACCGTAAATTAAGAGTTAAAGAAGCGATGAGCAAAAACAATGAAAGTTCCACGCATACTGCTGCGACTTTAGGAGAGATTTTGTGAACCTGAGCAACATATGGGAGCAGATTATTTGGGATTCCCTGAGGATCCTCTCCAATCATGCCAGAAGCATGAGCTCCGATTGGGTTGAAGTAACGGAGCAGCACTGCGTTCCAGTCCTGCACCCACAAAAAACCCAACAATAGAACACCAGAAAAGGAAAAAAAAAAAAAAAAATATATATATATATATATATATATATATATATATATATATATATATATATATATATATATATATATATACACACATTTCTGAATCCATTATCCATTCCAACCCACCTTCTCAGCTTTACAGTGGTCCTTGATTATCTCCTCAATGAAATACTTGGTCTTGCCATAGGGGTTGGTGCAGGTCCCCACAGGGTGCTGCTCATCTATGGGGAGGTGCTGGGGGTCTCCGTAGACTGTTGCCGAGCTGCTGAAGACCAGATTGTGCACCTTATGAGCCTGCATCACCTGGGATACATGCAAATGCACAAAATACACCACAGTCAGCAGGCCAGAGGGACGATGCACACTTAGAAAACAACAAGCAATCAATCAATCAATCAATCAAAGCTTTATTTATAAAGCGCCTTCCGCAACCCTATCGGGAAGCCCAAGGCGCTGAACATGGTACAAGAGAAAGTTAAGTATGGCGAATAAATTGAAAATAAAAGCAATACAAATTACAAAAAAAGGTAAAACAAGGGATAGAGTGAACCACTGAAAACAGGGAAATAAAATCAACATAAAAGAGGGCCAAATTCAAACACATTCAGGGAACGCCAAGCGGAGGAGGTGGGTTTTTAGGCGACTCTTAAAGACTGGCAGAGATGGGGACAGCCTAACTGAGGGTGGCAACTGGTTCCAGAGTGACGGTGCTAGGACTGAGAAAGCCCGGTCCCCGCGAGTACGACACCTAGAACGAGGGACAGCGAGCAGGCCTCGGTCAGAGGAGCGCAGAGCGCGTGATGGGGAGTGTCTGTTCAGGAGCGTGGCGAGATAGGGGGGACCACCACCCTGGAAGAAAGCTTGGGTTTAGCTCACACACAAAGGCCGTGCTGTTAGACTTTCCTCGGTGCAGTTTCAAGTAAGCATTCATTTTGTGTGATTAGCAAAAGCAAAGTTAAGATTAGTTCAAATCAGAGCATGAAGAGATAAACTGACCTCAATCAGATTCATGGAAGCGGTGAGGTTGACTTTGTAGTAACGCAACGGCTGCTCCACAGACTCCCCGACAGCCTTCAGGCCAGCAAAGTGCATCACAGCACTGAACGAATGCTTTATCACAGATTTAGTAACATGTTAACGGTGGATTCAAGTGACACACACACACACACACACACACACACACACACACACACACACACACACACACACACACACACACACACACACACACACACACACACGTGAGAATTTGACTGATAGCAGGGAGGATAGTGGTGCTTCTAATAATCCCAACTATAATAAGCTAAATTGTAAAAATATTATTTTATAACCGTCAATAAAACAGGATCAAGTGCAACTAAGGATCATTTTCAGACTTTTCTTTTCCCCAAACACATGAAATACAGGAACGGAAACCTCCTTGGTATTTATAGAGGTCGCTCTGACATGTTGAAACTTAACTGTAGCACTAAATGTATTTATCGGCTTCAAAAGTCAGCTGATCTGATCAGAAAATCTCAGCTGCGGCTACATTTTCTGTTAGTCGAAGAGATTTTATTCTTGTTACTCTGACCTTTTTGAAGAGGTTTTCCAATCCAGCCCGATCCAGAAGGTCGAGATCGTGAAATTCGATGTTGGTGTCCAGAATTTTTTGGATTCGTTGAATGCTCTCTGCCACGTTCTTCCCTCCTGAATCACAAATGAGCAGCAAATATTTGTATAAAAGCTGAATAAACACATGGGACGTGCGTATGAGGGAACAGGGCTCACCTTTTACAGCGTTGCTGCAGTTATCAACCACAACTGGCTGGTATCCTGCTTCAATGAGCTCCGCCACACAGTGACTCCCGATGTAGCCTGCTCCACCGGTCACCAGAACCTTCTCTGCCATCGTCTTGCCTGTCAAATACAACATTTACAACATTCCTAACATTTTCTTGCTGAATATCTTTTCTTCTGGATAATCCAGAAAAACACACCTAAAGCCCATTTAACAGGTATGCGACACGCCTGCACTGTCCCACATCTGCAGGCTAAACACCTTGTTTTTAACACCAGAGTGAAGAACTTGTCTAGCTATAGAAGACATAAAAGCAACATAAACACAATAACTTTTACTCTTCATTTATATTAGATTCCCATAAATATTGCACTACTTTAGGCTAACTCATAGCCCAAGTACTCTGCTTTACCTTGTTAGGTTTGTGTCGTTGAATGAATAAAATAATAAAGAAACATAAACTACACCTAAAGACAAACTTAAAGTAATTCCAAAGGCAAACAACTTTTTGTAATCTTGCGCATTCTGGTAAACTATCAAAATAAAACAAATTCTTTATACTTAACTTAAAATACTCACTATTATTTTAATATTTTCTTTAACGACGTTAAAATGTCTCTTTCAGCAGCTTCTTGGTGAGTATCTTGGTCGGTGGAGGATGAAAACAAACAGTTCATTCACTGGATCCACTTCTCTTCTCACTACTTCCTAGTGAACGTGGAGGAGACTTAAGTTAGTGGACAACACGTAACTTCCTGTAATGTTACTTTCAAAGTAAAACAAAAAGCTTGAGCTAAATACAACAATGGAGTCAATTTCGCAAATTTACGGCTAAAATAAATGCAGTTGTACATTGAATACTTAATTTATTTAGAAATATCAAAGATAGACCATTTTAAGTGCAACTTATATTCCTTTTTGTTTTATTTTGAAAAATGTCACAGATTTCAGCGACGTACAATGCGTTCAACTAAACTTTGCCGGAAGTGGCGTTTAAATGAGTCACATTCAATAACGCTAAATTCATGACTGTCTTGTCACGCTCTCACGGCCACACACCCAATTTCTCACGCTGGAAAAAGTAAATCTATCTAAGCTACACATTGCGTTGCGCTACTGTACACACTATAGCGCTACAAGTCCAGTTTTAATTTGACTTTATATGAGCGAGAAGGTGAATTTTCGCCCTCTAGCGGTGAAAGGCTAGAACTAATTTCTGGTTCTGTTAAACCTTTTAGAGAACACCCGTCTTGGTCTTACCTCAGTAAAGCGGGGAAAATGCTAATGTTTGTTTTTTCTTTTATAAATATTAATATTAGAGAAAAAAAGAGAAGAATAGGGAACACTTCCTGTAAATTCTTTCAAAATAAAATGCTACATCTTTTTGGTGGTAGCAACAAGGTCTCGCTCTAATAGTCTTTATCTCTTTTCATTTAGCTAAAAACACAAATTATATTTACGTGACAGTGTCATCATTCATCTGGCGTTTGAAATTAAGGAATTGTTCGCCCTCTAGTGGATTTAAGTTGTTACTGCAGGCAGCATTTGTAAATGTTAAACCACATTTCTCATTAGCACTTCCTGTAAGTTCCTTCTAAATAAAACTCAAAATTTGCCACAAGTTTTTAATTTGTGTTAGCAGCAGAGTTAGTTTAAATAACGGGAAATCCGGAACGTTTTTACTTATAGAAACCACTTAACTACTAAAACTCAATAAATCTATGTTAATTATCTGTGTTCAACAAGATTGAAGCAATTTAAAAAGGATGTGTAATTAAGAGAGGTGATTTGTGATGATTAACTGTCTGGGTTTTGTAATAGTTTGTAAATTTAAGGGAGAATAAGATAGCAAATGTTGGTACAATAGCTCTGATGCTGCAGCCAGACTTTCTGTTAGTTTTGTTGAAGCCATTTTTTATCCTGACCTGTAAACAGATTACTTGAAATAATTCCAAATGATGTATTTGTGCTTGTATCCAAATCACACAGGACTTCATTCAAGTTCATTTATAGAATGCGGAAGTGAAAAAGTAGCAGAAAAAGTTTTTTTCTCTGATTTTATTAAAAGTTTTTGATAATTTGTAATTTACATTTCAGGAAATTAAACATCCTCCCAAAACTATAGCACTTTGTGGGAATTAATTATTCAATTTTTATTTATGTATGGAATCATTTGATGGAAACAAAAATCATTTTACCGTAAAAGGAAATCCACATCTGAAAGAGAAAAAGACTTGGTTCTTGTTCAACTTTGCAAATAGGAGACTTGTTTGGTCTTGTACAGTTTTTACTCACAAGGTGCCCTTTAAAATATAAAACAATGTCAACCCAAAATTATATTTTCATTGGTTATCAGGAAATCTTTGCAACATTTCCAGATTTGTTGGACAACACCCAATATTTTCTGTTTGTTTGGAATGATCCAGTGTCCACTTCAATAAAACACACAATCTGTCAAACCTGTTATCTTAGACGTCACGTCTGAGCTCCGGATGGAAGTCCTGCCCAGGCAGCCGGCAGGAATGTGAGCAAAGAAAAACGAGAGGAAACAGATGAAGCTTGCTTCCATCCTTCACTGCAAATGCCGTTTCTTTGTTCGAGAGGAATTTGGATCAGATGAAGAAATCTCAAGAGGAGTAGCAACAACAACGTGATTCAGCAGAAACAGAAAGTAATAAAAGGGAAACAAACAAATACAATAGATATAGCCTCAAATATTTCATGAAAATATCATTTATTTTAGAAATATTTTCTAAAATGTGATACTTTAGTTTATCTTTTCTGATGTGGTGTGCCGGTGCAGGAGGTCAGCACGTCTCTGCTTCATGTCTCTGAGGTAAATGTGCTCACCGTCCTCCGTACCTGCTGTTAATGGGAGGAAGACGTGAAACTTCGACACACAGGGAGGTGTTTCAGATTTTCTTTCATTAAAGATTTATTAAGTATGCTTATAATCATGACGTTTGAGTCTTCTCTGAGAAACGCAGAAACAAAAATGATAAAACAGCCAAATGAACGAATCCTTCTTTTCCCTACAACGTTCTAGATTTACGATGCACGCCATGTTTGTCAACAACCAAAACATGGGGAGGCTGATAAAAACAGGAGAAAGTCACCAGTCAACATGGAGGTTTAATATAATTTAGTCCAAGATGACAGAACGTGTCACAAGCCATCACAACATTTTACATTCCATAACATTATGTGCATATTCTGCAGAAAGTTGCAGCAACAGATTGATGATTAATGCAAAACAGATCAAAGCAAATAAAATATACTATAGATTTCACATAAATGTTATCGTCGTCGTCTTCCTCCGCTAATCCGGGTCCGGGTCGCGGGGGCAGCATCCCAACTAGGGAGCTCCAGACCGTCCTCTCCCCGGCCACCTCCACCAGCTCCTCCGGCAGGACCCCAAGGCGTTCCCGCACCAGATTGGAGATGTAACCTCTCCAACGTGTCCTGGGTCGACCCGGGGGCCTCCTGCCGGCAGGACATGCCCGAAACACCTCCCCAGGGAGGCGTCCATGCTGTGGTACCGGCCTGCTTCAAATCCACCTCCATCGTCCCGATACCCAAAAACTCCAACCCATCTAGCCTCAATGACTACCGCCCGGTAGCACTCACCCCCATCATCACTAAGTGCTTAGAGCAGCTGGACTTAGCACACTTCAAATCCTGTCTCCCCCCCACCCTGGACCCCCACCAATTTGCATACCGCCAGAACAGGAGCACAGAGGATGCAGTCTCTCACACCTGGACAACAACAACACCTACGCCAGAATGCTGTTTGTAGACTTCAGTTCAGCATTCAATACAATCCACCCCTCACAACTCATCAGGATACTGACAGACCTGGGGATCAGTTCCCTCACCTGCAAATGGTTACTGGACTTCCTGACCAACCGCCCTCAACATGTCCGACTGGATAACCGCTGCTCATCAACAATCACAATGAACGCTGGTGTACCACAAGGCTGTGTGATGAGCCCTTTCCTCTGTCACCCACGACTGCAGACCTGCTGATGGTTCCAACACCATCATTAAGTTTGCAGATGACACCACAGCGATTGGCCTCATCAGTGACAACGATGAGACCGCCTACAGGGAGGAGGTGGACCGTCTGACTGAGTGGTGCGACACAAACAACCTGCTGCTCAACACTGAGAAGACTGAGGAGCTCATCGTGGACTACAGGAGGAATGCTGACCCACATCCACCCATCCACATTAAGGGGAAGGCAGTGGAGCGTGTGAGCAGCTTCAAGTTCCTGGGAGTCCACATCTCCGAGGATCTCACCTGGACTACCAACTGCTCCAAGCTGGTCAAGAAGGCTCACCAGTGCCTCTTCTTCTTGAGGACTCTGAGGAAGAACAACCTGTCCTCAGACATCCTGGTGAACTTCTATCGCTGCACCATCGAGGGCATCCTGACCAACTGTATAACAGTCTGGTATGGGAACTGCTCCGCCTCGGACCGGAACTGCCCAGCGCATCGCCGGAGCACCACTTCCTGCCATAAAGGACATCTACAGGAAGCGGTGTCTGAAAAGGGCTAGGAAAATCATCTGAGATCACAGTCACCCATCACGTGCACTGATCACCCTGCTGCCCTCTGGGAGGCGCTACAGAAGCCTCCGGACTAAGACCACCAGGTACCGGAACAGTTTCTTCCCCACAGCTGTCAGACTCCTGAACTCTGCCTCCTGACATATGACCCACGTTAAACTCATGGACTGCTTGTATTAACTACAGCCTGCACATACTTATAGTCATAGAATATACATAACATACGTCATACCGTGTACATTATGACATACGTAATAGATCCATTTCTGTAATATACTTACACATCTATATTATTGCTAACATATATTGTAATACATCTATATCACGGCTAAAGCACTTTGTGGATGGATGCAAACTGCATTTCGTTGCCCTGTACCTGTACATGTGCAATGACAATAAAGTTGAATTCTATTCTATTTTTTTCTCAAACACTAGGTATTCTTACCTAGAAACAATGGGGAAATTGCGCCATCTGCTGGCCAAACGAGAACAACACTCTCGTTTCCAACAGCATTTAAAGATTAGAAGACGTCACGGCTGCCAGCCTTGAGTGAAAAGCAGGAGCCAGGATCACCCAGCCTAGTTGATCAGCCTGACACCGCCCCTCCTCCTCCTCTCTCCCAGGCTGCTGAGGAGCACATCTGAGCTGAATCCTGCTAATTACCAACACCTGTAGAAAAAGGCTGTGCCTTCAGCAGTGCAGGGGTTCTGCTGTCCTCCAGGTTTTGTTTTGTTTTGTTTTGTTTTGTTTTGTTTTGTTTTGTTTTGTTTTAACCCCTTTCGTTCGGATGAGTTTTAACAGAGGTCATTTTTACTCTGAGTGATCCAGTGGGATCTTTTGTGCGTTCGTTTTTAAAGGTTAACTTGATTTGGTGCAATTTTACTGACTTTGGTTTTAAACACCTTTGTTGGGGTAAAGCTTTTTAAAATAAGTTTTTACCAGGTGTTTTAGTCAGTATATTAGACTTTTATCAACTTCGGGTTTTTAAAAACACCTTCGGTGCGGTAAAACTTAAGTTTTTACCAGGTGTTTTATTTATAGTTAATTTGTTGTGATGTTAACCTTTAAGAGTTCAGTTTGTGTTTTGCATTATCTTTATAATGCCTGTCGTCATCTGTTTGCACGTTTTTAGAACATTTTTGTTACAATAAAACCCTTTTAATATCCACT